CTCTGCAGCTGGCTGAGGTACCTTTCTTGAAAGGACCACTGGTGACCTGTATTTTCATAGGGCCAGCTAGCTCAGTTGGTTAGAGCGTGGTGCTAATAACACCAAGGTCATGGGTTCAAGCCCTATGCTGGTCACAGGGCTGTTTGGTTTGTTGACCTACGCTGATTTTGCCTCCTGCTATGGACAGGGAAGACCAAGGAAATCGGGGTCCAGGGCCTGTGAGCTCCCCCCCTTGAGGAATAAGGCAGTCTGCTCTTAGGATCCATGTTAGCACAGGCCATGCCATGCTGTATCTCTGAGAAGCAATAAACCTTTCTACTCTACTGGCTGGCTGTGTGTCACATTTGGCTGTGGATGGGGGTGCAGGGTTGGGGGCTCCCCGACATGCCATCTGGAACTTTCTGATCCAAAACATTTGTGATCTGGCAGGACCAAGGATCTTCCAGGAGGAGAGTGTCTTGGTGCTATGCCAGGGGAAGGGGGTGTGCACAGCTGGGCTGCACGGTGCAGGGGAAAAGCTGGGAAGCTCAGCATAGGGTGCTTGGGAGCTGGTGCATGGCTCAGCTGGGCTGCAGGGGGAAGCAGCTCCAGAGCTGGCACATGGTCAGCTGGACGGCTGGAGGTGGGAGCCCAGGGGAGGGAGAAGCTGGCAGCAGAAGGGCTGGAAATTACCTCCCCTGGGCCAGAAAAATCCCTCAGCTGGAACTAGACAGGTCCCGAGGGTGCCAGAGCAAGGAGGCCCAACCTGTTCCTAGGTGTCCTGTGCTACTGGTGGTGCATGGCCACACGGGGGTTGGTGCACACTGCATCATTCTGCACGTGGACAAACAATGAGGGACCACTGGTCCTGGGGCTGCTTCAACATCTTCACTAATGAGCTGGGATGGGGATGGGTTTGCAGCTGACACTGAGCTGGGAGGGTAGATACGCTGGGGGGCAGGGATTGGGCCCAGAGTGACCTGGAGAGATTAGAGGATTGGTTCACAAGAAATCTGCTGATGTTCAACAAGAACAAGTGCAGAGTCCTGCCCTTGGGACGGAAGAATCCCAAGCATTGGTACAGGCAGGGGAGCGACTGGTTAAGTAGCAGTTCTGCTCTAAGAGAAAAATATTTTTTACCTATTACCCAAGAGATAATTAGCATCTCCATCCATGAGAAACAGGACGTTTTCATTCTAAACAGCTGTTTTTTATGATCAGCTGTTTTGTATGTTTCATTAGGTAGGAGTTTGGTGCCTTCAAATCTGTCAGATGCATTCATGACTAGCAGACCAAGAAAAATGGTGAAAGAGGCTGCATGTGCTACAAACTTCATAAATGGACCACGCATTATTCTCCCCAGCTGCAACACAAAACAAAACATTCAATCAACTTTTTAAAATACATTTATGTCAAAAGCACAGTAAATAATTACAATGAAAATATATACACTCTGTGATGTCATAACGAGATACCATAATTACCTTGCAAAAATGGACACCAGTTTTGGATTTGATATAGTATTCAGCTTAGCAGGAAGGTTCAGGTTAGCAAGAGCAGTTTTTCTGACCTGTCTTGCTTTTTGGTTTTTAACATTTTAATGGGCCACAAAAAGTTGTGTATACACTTCTATAGCTTCTTACATTCTTTCTTGATTCTCTTAATAGAAATTTCCTTAAACACCCACCAAGAGAGATGACTAAACCTTGAATAGACTAGAAGGGGAGCTGTATAAGTCGTAGCTGCAAAAACAACAAGGAGTCTTGTGGCACCTTACTGACTTTGAGTGTGTCTACACTGCAATGCTATTTTGAAACTCACACTTCATAATTATGTTTTAAATATAATCACAAAAATGTGTATTGAGCAACAAAAGGCTAGACACAAAATAGTTATTTATCACTCTCCATCATGAGACAAACACAATGACCTTTCATCATACATTCTAAATCCACAATATATCATACTGTACAGAGTGTCCAACAATTTATTGTGAATAGTCAGTGTTCAATAATTTTTGAGGCTTGGCAATAATCAAAAGTCTTTTTGTAAAGAAAGAATGAAGTAACTCAGAAAATGCCTGTGCATGTTTCTTTTTTTAAATTGTCCTGTGATGTCTAATTCTTTAGGGTTATGTCTATACTGCATTCCTCTTTTGAGAGAGGAATGCAGCCGAGCGAAATTGCAAATGATGCACGGATTTGAATTTCCTGCATTTCATTTGCATGATTGAGTCCGTCCGCTATTTCAAAATAACCTATTTTGAGATAAAACACGCTGTGTAGATGCGGTTATTTACTGCGGGACCCTCTGTACTAATACTTGCCCCGGTCTTTCAGAACACTCTGTCTACGATGAATGAGGTGACAGATCGTAACGGCGATGGCCCGAATAGGAGTCTGCTGCTCTCCACAACACCCCAGTAAAAAGACCAGACTTCAACACCACAGTGGGAAAGGATTGTTCTATAGCTGGGTATAAGGCGGTGTCCTATGCACGGTTCCCTGTAATCCCATTCTCTGCCCGCCAGAACACTTACTATAGGCTCCAGGGAGGTGGGGACCATGTGCCCTCCTGCCTCCCCATGGCACAGCCCCACCTCCCCGTGGTGATGGGTGGGGGCTTGGCTCCCGTGGGGCTGGGCCTGGGCAGCAAGGGGCGGGGTTAGGGCTTTTCCCCAGCCCTACTTTCACCCACGGTGCCTGCTACTGGGGAAGGCAGCTGGCCAGCCCCCACTGAAGAAAGTAGCTGAGAGAGGGAGGAGAGGAGGAGGCAGGAGCCCTCTCCCAGCAGGCTGGCCCTGCACATCCTAGGCCCCAGTCTCACCCTACTGCTCCCTGCAAACCACTTAACCTGTCTCCGTTTGGGGTCAACTGGCCATGGCAGTCAGCTGAATGAAGACAGGCTGGGTTGCTGAGAGCATCCAGTGGCCAGCACTCGAACACAGCACCCTGGTATGATGTGCACCACGCTCAAGCTCGCCATCCCACAGCAAACAACTCCAGCTCCAGTGGCCAGCACTCGAACACAGCACCCTGGTATGATGTGCACCACGCTCAAGCTCGCCATCCCACAGCAAACAGCCCCACCTGTAGCCTTCTCAGAAAGGAGCCTGGGGCAGCTGCAGGGACGTTGTGGGCTCTGGAACAAGGTGAGTGGAGCAGGAGCACCGCTCATAGGTAGAGGAATTAGCTCAAATGATGGAGGGCTTGCTAAGCATGCAGAAGACAGGGTAATTGATACCCATGTTCTCCAGTGATGGAGATTCCCCATTTCTCTTTCCCCATAGGGTTAAGGGCTTCCAATAGCCCCTCCCACTTCCTACCTGCTCTCCCCAAAAGCCAGCCACGCTGGGGCAGAAAACTACAGGGCCCCAGCCCCACTCTCCCTTCAAGATTTGTGTTTAAAAAACAAAGGTGAATCTGGGTAACTTTCTCCTCGATTTAGACCAACATTCATGCAAGTGGTTTGTTTTTTGTAGCTCTGCACCTCCTGCACCCCTAGGCTGTGTCTACACTGGGCCACTTATTCCGGAAAATCAGCCGCTTTTCTGGAATAAGCTGCTAGCTGTCTACACTGGCCCTTGAATTTCCGGAAAAGCAACGATGCTCTACTGTACAAAGTCATCCACTATTCCAGAAAAACTATCTTGCTCCTACTCGGGCATAAGTCCTTATTCCGGAACACTGTTCCGGAAAAAGGCCAGTGTAGACATCCCAGTAGTCTTTTCCGGAAAAAAGCCCCGATCGCGAAAATGAAGATCGGGTCTCTTTTCCGGAAAAGCGGGTCTACATTGGCCACAGATGCTTTTCCGGAAAAAGGGCTTTTCCGGAAAAGCAGCCTGCCAATGTAGACGCTTTAAGCAGTTCCGGAAATTCATGCCAATGTAGACACAGCCCTAGAGACTCTGGGACAAAAAAGCACATGGGAAGAACCCAGTTCTTCCTTTCTTTCGTTGAACATTTTATGGTTTTTTCACCTATGAATGTTCAAAGGTGCAGCACAGTATGGGGTGTATGTGCCCTGCTTTCTAGAGAGAGCTGGTCAAGGCAGGAGAACAAGGGAGCAGCTGCATACCTGTGTGGCTGCGCTGGTTATGACACAGGGACATTGTTACTGAACAGTCTGACAATGCCATAACAAATTGGGTTCTGAGAAAGGTTTTGGATTGCTTGAAGTGCCGCAGCTGAACTACACACAATGCTCTGTAAACAAGTCAAACATCGATATTGATGTAAGGGAAGAAAAAGATAAAAAATTCCATTTCTAAAAATAGATTTTTAATACAAAGCTGTTGAACTGTAAAGGAAAATGTTCTTGTGCAGACACCTTGTTACAATGACAGGTTTCTAAATTAGTTGTTTTTTCTTTCATATTTGACACTGAGATTTCACAGCAGTAGAAAACTCTGACAGGAGTGAAAGTCCCCTCCCTCCTCATCTCGGGCAGGGGATGGGGCAAGGTGAGAGCAGCAAACCCCACCCGCTGTCTGGCCGCGTTTCGTACCAATTTCAGCCCGGCCAGGTCCCCAGCAGCCATGGCCCCTCCGCAACCCTGCCCTGCAGGTTAGTTTCGCTTTCTGAGGGTAAGGAAGCAGCAGACCTGGGGCAGGGGGGAAAGGCAACCTGGGTTCTTTCCAGCCAGGGGGTCCCATTCACCACACTGGGCTGGGCTGCCAGGTGTCTGGTTTTCCACTGGAGGCTCCAGTTGCAAAGGGAAAGGGGCAGCGACTGGTTGGCACAAAACATCCAGGTACCTGCAGTAACTGGCTCCCATCAATAGGGGGAGATAACAGCAGCGCTGGGAGGGGCCAGTCGGTGTTGTGGGTCACTGTCAGGGGCAGGGATTCCCTCCGGCCTGGGCCGGCACCGGGCAGATGGTCAGGGGAGCCGCGTTGGTGCCCCCAGCGTTGAGACCAGGACAGAAGAAAGGGCGCAGCGTCCCGGAGAAGGTGCCGGTGAAGGTGAAGAGATGGGACCTGTCAGTCACATTGTAAAACGAGACCTCGCCCGCCTCGTAGTCCAGGAAAATCCCCACTCGGCTGGGCTTGGCGCTCACGGGGAGGGGGGTGGAGGGGGAGGTGCCGGCTTCGTATCCCCCGTCCCTCAGCCACACGGCCCAGTATCCGTTCTTAGGTGATGCTGTGACCTTCCCCTTCCTGCTCACAGATTCCCTGCAGACCCCCAAAGTCCACTCAGTCTTGTTCCCCACCCCCACCTCCCAGTAACGTCTCCTGCCCGCAAACCCCTCGACAGCCAGCACATTGATACAATAATCAAATCTCTCTGGGTTGTCGGGCAGATCCTGGCGCGTGTCTCCGTATCTCACACGTTTCCGATCCTCAGACAGGACGAGGTCGGGATGAGCCGTGTCTGGATCCAGCGTCACGTCCACTGGGGAGAGAGTCACAAAGTCAGGGCAGAGGGCAGGGGCGGGTCCCCGGGGTCAGCGGGAAATTAACCTGCCCCCCCATTAATCACTGTGGGTATGTCTACACTACCCTCCTAATTCGAACTAGGAGGGTAATGTAGGCATACCGCACTTGCAAATGAAGCCCGGGATTTGAATTTCCCGGGCTTCATTTGCATGAA